AGAAGAGAGGAGAGGAGAAGAGAGAAGAGAGGAGAGTCGAGTGGGCTGAAAGCCCTCCAGAATACAGGGGGCGAGTGAAAGAGTTATTATTTATACTGGCCCAGTCGTACAATATAAACAAGAGAGAAATTACAACAGTACCCTTGTGGTACTAAACCTGAGTACACAAACAACTGTCAACACCAATCACTTTTGAGATACTCTTTCTTGAAATAATAAGATGCCACTTGTCTGAGAAGAAGCTCTCTTACCAGTAAGGGTGTAAACAGATCGAATTTGAATCGAATAAGGCAACATCCAAATTCGAATCCGATTAGAAAATCCTATATTCGAATTCCATTCAATATCCGATGGATATTGAAAAATAACATTCGAATTTGAATTTGATTTAACATTCCAATATTCGATTCGGTTCGAATTCGACTAATTAATTATTTTAGGTAATTAATAAATATTTATTTATATAAAGTATATAAATATATAAATTATTTATATAATCTAATTATTATATATATAAATATAAATTATATAAAATATTTAATTATTTTATATATTATATTTAAGAATTAAATAGTTGGTCAAGTTTGGATATTTATCAAATCGAATCAGGTCATATCCGAATTCGAATCCGATTAGCTATTTGGTATGAATAGGATATCTGAATTTGATTCAATTATGTTGAATATATATATTGGGACATAACCAGCTTTAGTAAAAAGTACATATAGTGACTAAATTAGCCTCACTTAAGTCATCAAATGACTTGATTACCACCCATATCTCACACAACTTAAATAGAAGAAACAAATTAAAGGGAAAGGGATAAACATGGCATAGAAGAATACTATTAGAATATGAAGAGAATAACCAGCCCACCACTCCATTAATATCCCTCTAGCTGGAGAGTATATACCATACAGTCCTAACTTGCTAGATATGAATTGAAGCCTTGGTCTACCAAGAGATTTAGTAAACAAATCTGCTAACTGGTCTTCTTTCTTCAGATAAGGAGTGTCTGCATTACCACTTTGAACTTTTTTCCTAACAAAGTGACAATTGATCTCAATGTGCTTCATCCTCTCATGAAAAACTGGATTGGATGCTATGTGCATTACTGCTTAATTGTGAAGATGCATGGGAAGTGACATAGAAAATCCCAACTCCTGAAGCAATTGCTTCAACTAAATCAACTCACAAGTGGTGCTACTCATTGCCCTGTATTTGGCTTTTGCACTCAACTTGGCCACTAAGATTCCATCCTAGAAATGTACAATTCCCAATAGTAGAACTATGGTCAGTAGTATCAAGGAACTGTTCAACCTAAAAGTTTAAGCGGTGAGATCCCTGAATAGATTTTTATTCTCTGACATGCGCCCCTCATGCCAAAGCCCATTGAGCTTGAAGCATGGACAAGCACAGGCCTATCCATACCTTGTGGAGAAATTTAATTAATTATAATGGGGGGTGACAAGGATCGAATACTAGATGATTTGGTCAAACAGGTTCTGATACCATATCAACTGTTCAACCTAAAAGCTTAAGCTGTTAGGGGAGGTCCCTGAATGGGTTTCTCTAACTAGTAGTACTCAGGACCTTTAGGTGTAGGTGGTGTATTTTGAGACAGCAATGGTATGATCTGTGCAATCTACTCAGGACTCATAGCACGAGGTGTTTCAACAAAAGCAGAAGTAGTCTCTCTACATCAAGGACCAGAATTGGAAAACCCATTGTAATTTGAGAATTTAAATAGGTGATTCCCATACTATAGTGGGATGACTAAGAGATAGTGTATAGGGATGTCTCCTGTACATGCATTTTCTGTCTGTAATTAATAAAATCAAATGTAAGTTATAAAAAAATGGCAATTATTGACTTACACCAAGGAAAGTCAGACAGCTGGAAGCCACACAGAAATGAGAGTTCAATTTCAATGACACAGAAATCAGCACATGGGTTGGCAGATGCCTTAACAAAACAAGGGGTAAGAAGGGATAGACTATTTTGGGGGCTGACAGATAGCAGTGGCTGCCTAGGGTTTGTTGTGATATTGCACACGTTAACACTTTACATTTACCATTCTTTCTATAATTAATAAACTAATATTTTACCAACCAAAAAAGTTTGAAATTAGGGTAACCTTTTCTATCTTTCTATATTATTATTTCTTTAGATTGAAAGTGGTTACTCTCTTTCAGTCTGCCTCATCATCTTCATCTAAGCCTTGTCCCAACCATATGGAGTTGTCTACATGAATCCTGTTTCACCATTCTATTGTGTTCAGTGCCAAAAATATATTAATTTTTTGTTTCTCTGAATTTGTTTTAGCCAGGGAGAAAGCCATGGTTATCAATTTAGAATTTATAAAAGCCATTGTTACTGCTGAAGAAGTACTGCTGCTAGACCCATTATGCCATGAAGTTATTCCTTTTGTGGAGCAGTTAAGGCAACAACTTCCTCATAAGAACGCATTTAAGATTGAAGATACTGGTGCAATAGATGCACAAGAAAAACATATCTGTCCAACTGGTACACAATGGTTGCCTGTTCCTGAAGCAGCTGAAGGATTGCAGTGTGAGCTTCCATTTGAGTTTCAAGTACTAGAGATTGCATTGGAGGTTATCTGTACATATTTGGACAGTAATGTGGCAGACCTTGAGAGAGATGCTTACCCTGTTTTGGATGAATTAGCCAGGAATGTCAGCACTAAGAATCTTGAACATGTTCGGAATTTAAAGAGCAATCTTACTCGTCTCCTTGCTCGTGTACAAAAGGTACTATTAATGAATCTTGTTTATTTCTTCTTCATATTGGTTTACATTATGCTTGTCTAAGATTAAAAATATTATACTAAAACTCTGTTTAATTTAAGTGGTTGAACTAGTTCTACTAAACAATGGCAACTTTTACAGGTCAGATAAAGCATCAACCTAGGTATGTCTAGAAACCTGGATGGCTATGTTTTCATTAGAGGTGGTCAAGCCGGCTGGTTCCAATTTTGAATTTGACACAGGAAAAGGGTGGAAAGGAGAAAAACAGAAGATGGTGTTCAGGTGAATAACACAGAGCTACTAACTATAATAAGGACAATCAGGTGTTTTTGAACTTCCTAGGCAATAAGAAAAACAAAGAATTCAATAATGAAGTACCTCATATTTATGAAAAAAATGAGGATTACTACATTGAGTGAGGTTTTTAACAGTGTTATCTAGTTTACAACTAGTCAAGACCGGTCAATTGAGACCACTTCACTAACTAGCTGGTCAATTATCATGATGGGTTGCTTGGGATGACCATACACTGACTAACCAACTAGTTCACCTGTTCAACCAAAATGTTACTTTGTGTTTATCTATGATCTACTTAAATAGTATCGTAAATGCTTTTATTTTGGTACATTATTCTAATTACTTTAACCATTTTGATGGTACATTACAAATAAATGCCTATAGGTAGAAATAATGCATATAATACAAGAAGATAGAGGATTTTTTTTTTAATTTTTCTTTCAATTGGTGGTGTGCTGGTATGGAGTTGTCACAAACAAAGGAAACACCAAATGATCAGGGTTGCACTCTTTCTTTGAAAAACAAAGGCTGCAACTCCCATCCTAGCCTATCTAGCCTTCCTTTTCTATATTTTCTAAACAAAAATTGTAAATAAATGTTTTATTTAATTTTTTGTTTCATATTTACATTCTATATTAATTTGTATATGAGATTGTATCACTACCTAATATTTATAACATATCTTTTTTTTGTGGTCAACTAGTTAGCACCTAGGCACTAACTTCATTGCATTGGCTAGGAAAGCCAAAAATGACTAGTCATCACTTCACCGCATTAATAACCCAAGTGTATAATAAGTTGTCCATGTTTTAGATTAGGATTTAGTTTGATTAAAGAGAAGAGGGAAGAAGAAAAAGGAAACTTAGTAGAGAGAAAAAGCCACTCTCAACCTAAATTGGTTCACTTAAAAGAATAGTTCTCAAGGTGTCTCCTAGGTGCCCTTGGTTGAGCACCTTACCTAAACACCTTGATTAATAGCAACAAGGTACCCATCTAGGTAACGACTCGGTGACAAGAATCACAAGGCAAGTACCTTATTATAATATCATCAATATTTTTTTTAATTGGTAACAAGGTTCACTTAAGATGCTGTTTGATCCAACTACCTTAACGTGGCCAAAGAGATGGGGAAGAATAATGTGGGGATGCACCAGAGCAGCAGTGGTTTGGACCTTATGGGAAGAAAGAAATGCTAGGATCTTCCAAGAGAAGCAGAGAAACAAACAAGAAATTATGGATTGTGTTTTGACCAGAGTTATACATTGGCTACTAACTTTGAATCTCTTTAGACAGTTCTCCTTTGATGATATTTGGAAGAACTGGTTATCAGTGGCTTCTAGTTCAGTACAGAAGTCAAAAACAAGGTTGTTATGGGCACCCCCCAGTGAAGGTTTTTTGAAATTAAATTTTGATGGAAGTAGCCAAGGCAATCCAGGTCCTTCTGGAATTGGAGGAGTCATAGAGACAGGAAAGGGAATCTGATAGCACTTTTTTCAGGACTGGTGGGGAATGGAGACTCTACAAGGGCTGAATTGTTTGTGGTCCTACAAGATGTTCAGATTGCAAAAGAGATGAACTTGGAAAACCTGGTGATTGAAGGGGACTCCATGGTGGTTGTGGGCTGGTTAAAAGACCCAGATTCAGTGATATGGTGCTATTGAGATGAAATGAAGAAATTCAAATGGTTTACACAGCAGATGAATTTTATTATACAATGGGTGGGAAGGGAGGCAAATGCTATGGCTGATTCATTATCAAAGCAAGGGGTAACCAGGGATCAATTGTAACAGTTACTTATCTTTTCTGATTTAATGAAATTATAAAGAATCTTTTGCTTATCAAAAAAAAATTGTTGAAAATATGAACAATATTTACAAGTACAAAGAAGATGCGTAGCTTGTCAAGCAACATATACCCTAATGGAATTATACAATGGATTCCCTAGGCATCTCTCCTCAATAACTGACCCCTTACTTAGCTAAAGCATCAACCATGCTATTTGTTAATAGGCACCCATTGACATGTAACCATCATTTCTGCTTTTTGATCCGTCTTTTTTTGGTTGGCCAACAAAGAGAGGGAAAGTAATGTGGAAATGTATTAGGGCAGCCCTCTTATGGACCATTTGGGAGGAAAGAGATGCTAGAATTTTCCAAGAGAAGGAGAGAAGCATTGCTGAAATAAAAGATTGTATAATTCCATTAGGGCAATCCTTTGGCTAAAAACTACTGATCTCTTTGCGGATTACTCTAGTGATGACCTTCAAAGGAGTTGGGCAGCAGTGGCCTCCACTTCATCCAAGAAAAATAGAGTACAAGCAAGTTGGCTACCCCCTCCGGAATGAGTTGTAAAGTTGAACTTTGATGGGAGCAGTCAAGGCAATCCAGGACCTTCAGGTATAGGAGGGACCTTGAGGAATAAGGATGGCAACACTCTGTCCTTATTCTTAGGTCCAATGGCTTATGGAAACTCTACAAGGGCTGAGATATTAGCTATGGTACAAGTACAGATTTCCAACCAACTTGGAGTGACTAATTTGATAGTTGAAGGAGTCTCTAAAGTGATAGTGGGATGGATGTCAGACCCAGAAACTGTTGTTTGGGGATATAGGGATATCATCAAAAAAGTCAAATAGCTTATGAGAACCATGTCAGTTACTTTCAGTGGGTTAGTAGATCGGTAAATGCTTTGGTAGATTCTTTAGCTAAACAAGGGGCTTCAAGGGATTCTCTGTTTTTGTCTATTTTGTAACTGTAGTCTGAAAAGAGTTGGGTTTGGAACCACCTTTAAGGGGAGGTAACACCTTGTGCCTCCTCTTAGGGTGCTTCATGCTTGTACTATTTCTATCTTTATTTAATAAAATATCATTCATTCATTAAAAAAAATTATAAATGCAAGTATAGGTGCAATGTTAAAGTAGATGAGGTACTGATCCTCTGTTATGGGCCCGCGAATAGGATCTTGTCACAGGTCGGTTAACGGGGAAAACCTCTTGTTTTCTCTTATTTCTCCCTTTCCTTGAGGTACCTATCCTTGGCGCCTTATTGGTGATTTGTTAAAGAGATCACCAACTCTCCTCTGCTCTTTCTTGACTGAAAATTTCGATGGTTTCATTGAATATCATCCGCTCCTTTAAATAGGAGATTACAAGAAGATAAGAGTCCTACTTTTAGGAAGACTTCCAAATAACCTTTATCTATACTATTGCCTAATTAATAGGAACACTGAATTTAGCTAAGATAGAAACAAATAAGATAAGAACACTGAACAAATAAGATAGAAACAGATAAGATAGGATAGGGACATTGTATCTAGCTAACAGATAAGATAAGAACACTGAATCTAGCTAAGAGATAAGATAACACTGAATTGGCTAAGAGATAAGATAGGAACACTGAGTTAATTGCCCATTACTGCTACTGTCCATTAAACACTGAATTAATCGCCCATTACTGCTGCTGCCCATTACTGCTACTGTTTGCGGCTGTAAAAGTATCCACAACATTACTCCCCTGGCCTAAGAGCTTGTCCTCAAGCTCGAATTCAGGATAGGTGTCTTGAAACACAGTCAAAGGAATCCAGGATAGGTGGAATGATTTTGCCCTCTTGGATCGGGTTCCAATGAAGAGGGTTCATCCTCATCTTCCTCTTGTTCCACTAGGAGGCAGAAAAGTCTCTTGCACTTGTGCCCTGCTGAGTAGAGTTCATCACAATTAAAACACTGTCCCTTCGCCCAACGTTCCGCCATCTCAGCCCTGGACAAGTGCTTAATAAGGGGTGCAACAACGCTGCTTCCCACACTGGATGTCGATCTGGAATTGTTGCTCGTCTGTGGTTTCTGTTCTTGGCTGGCTGCTGAAGATGGAGCCATTCCGAGTGGTTTTGGGGCTGCCCATGTTGTTTGAGGCCGCCCTATACTGATAATTCCACGGTTGAGTTGCAATTTGCGTTCAAAGGCACGGGCCAAATTCATAGCAGTAACCAGATTGGGGGGATTTTGCATCTCCACATCCACCCTCAAAGTCTTCGCTAACCCCGCGGTGAACATGTCAACCTATTGGTCTGGACGTACCGAAGATGCTCTTGCAAGGAGGGTCCGAAACTGATGCTGATACTCAGCCACAGTTCCAGTCTGTTTGAGGTTTATTAGTTCGCCTAATGGATTGCTTGTTAATGGGGGCCCAAATCTGAGAAGGTAGTAGGATTTGAATTGGGTCCAACTGAGCCCAGGTTCCTCCTGCTCCAATTTATAAAACCAGAGTTGCGCCTCCTCTGTCATGTGGAATGCGGCTAAGCCTACCTTGTCCCTGTCCTCTGTCCGTTGGTTGCGGAAGAACTGCTCACATCTGTACAGCCATCCCAAAGGATCTCCGGTTCCATTATAGGAAGGGAATTCCAACCTGCTGTATTTGGGAACGATCGCGGTTCCCTGGGCAACGACCTGCTATTCTCCGGACGATTCTGCCATGACTGGTCGGAGGCTGTCTGTGGTTGCAGCCCCTTCTGAACTCTTGTTATGGGCCCGCGAATAGGATCTCGTCACAGGTCGGTTAACAGGGAAAACCTCTTGTTTTCCCTTATTTCTCCCTTTCCTCGAGGTATCTATCCTTGGCGCCTTAATGGTGATTTGTTAAAGAGATCACCAACTCTCCTCTGCTCTTTCTTGACTAAAAATTTCGATGGTTTCATTGAATATCATCTACTCCTTTAAATAGGAGATTACAAGAAGATAAGAGTCCTACTTTTAGGAAGACTTCCTAATAACCTTTATCTATACTACTGCCTAATTAATAGGAACACTGAATTTAGCTAAGATAGAAACAGATAAGATAAGAACACTGAACAGATAAGATAGAAACATATAAGATAGGATAGGGACACTGTATCTAGCTAACAGATAAGATAAGAACACTGAATCTAGCTAAGAGATAAGATAACACTGAATTTGGCTAAGAGATAAGATAGGAACACTGAGTTAATCGCCCATTACTGCTGCTGTCCATTAAACACTGAATTAATCGCCCATTACTGCTGCTGTCCATTACTGCTGCTGTTTGTGGCTGTAAAAGTATCCACAACATCTTCCATCCACATAAACAGCATTTATTTTCTAGGTCTCTCCCTCTTGCAATGAGATGATTAGTGGTTCAATTGGATGAAAAAGTAGTGGGGAAAAGAAAAGAAAAGAAATCTCTAGTAGAGAGAAAAAGTCACTCTCCCCTAAATTGACTTAAGCTCCGTTTGTTTACACTGCAATTTTATTTGCATTAGTAAAAACTAAAAACCCATGAGAGTGAAAATTCACTTTTTCTTAGGGTTTTACTTTGCTCAAGGTTTTGATTTACTTCATCTGCACTGCAACAAACAAAACAAAGTAAAACCTAAAACAAAAGTAAACCAGAATCTTCAGTCAACTCATTTGCACTCCCATACTTTTGCACCACTGCAAAATGAAATTGAATTGCAAATAAATGAGTAAAATAGAATGAAAGAATTACTCTCATGCAAAATATATCATAATACAACACTTCTGACAGTATGAAGCATTTTGAGGTGGTTTGCCTCTTTTAGTCCATTAAAACATTTATATATCTAATTGTTTTTCTTTTCTTTTTTGTCTTTCTCCTCTTTTTAAACCATTTCTTGTCCTAATTTTAAAATTCCATAGCATATAGAACAGTTCAATGCAATTAAACTGTTGCGTTAGTATAATATTACCTAATTTGGTTTACAAGTGTAACATAATGTGGAAAATGCAAAGGAAACAAACATAAAAGTGTGATGATCAGATAGATTGTGTATGGTCTGAAGTCTGTGTCTCTCCTACAGTTAGTCATCATTGGGAAACTGCCTTGCATTCACTGCTTGACTAGAGCATTGCCTAGGCATGAGGGTGTTAGAAGTAATTATTTGAATTCCTAATTTGATATTTTGGTCTATGTGCTTTGTATGGTTTTGCTTCCTTGGGTGACAAACCATCTCTGGTAATAACAGGTTAGAGATGAAATAGAACATCTTTTAGATGACAATGAAGATATGGCACAACTATATTTAACGAGGAAGTGGGTCCAGAATCAGCAGTCTGAATCATTAAGTGGAACAGCCTCAAATGGAATCGTCAATTTTACACCCAATTTGCCACACCTTAGTTCTAACATGAGTGCAAGTTTGAAAACCAGCAACCTTTCAGATGATCATGACGTGGAGGATCTGGAAATGTTGCTTGAGGCTTATTTCATGCAGCTGGAGGGCACTCGTAACAAGATATTATCTGTGAGTTTTCTTTCCTTGTTTGAAGATAGCATAAGCAAATCCTAGATCGATATGACATACTAATTGGTGACTATTGATAGATCTGCATAACTATTTGACTACCATAGTGGAAACCTTAAGCTTTATATTGCATCTGCTACAGCTACTACATTCAAAGTTAATTTTCTACTTTACCTTCTTTCAAAACAAGTTAATTTTCTACTGCCTACTGTTGGAAATTTTATTAACTTATTCCATAATTGTCAAGGCGACTCCTAGGCGATAAGGTGCTCTTGGAGGGTTGCCTCATCCATACACTGATATAATATATATAAGACACATAATATTTTTATATTTTAATTTTGTTATTAATAGTAGTAAAATAGATATTTTTAGACTAAATTATTCATGTTGTAGGTTTGTAGTATTAGTATTGTTATTCTACTAGTTTCTTTTTATTATTTTCTTATTTATTTAGGTCCAATCGACACACAAGTAAGTGAAATAGCCTTGAACACTATAAGACTTTAAAACCTGAACTCATAGAACTTCTTGAAGATATCCAATTGACACACAAGAACAACCTATAGAACTTCTTGTTCATCTTCTTCCTAGGATCAAAACAAGGACTCGGCCTATAGTTTTTTGAAGAGTAAAGAAGAAAATTTTATTAAAAAGAAAAGAAAGATACAAACTTGTTGGGTGTCAAGATAACTCCCAAACATCTGAACACTAGAAAAACAAGATTACATTAAGACTGGGAACTCAAGAACACCCCAGAAAATTTCTACTAGATAAACTGCTCAAATTCTGGGAGAATCAAGACCCAGCTTGAAACAAGCTTTCAACTGAGGCCACCTCCATGTCAAAAGCTTCTAATTTGTTTTCCTGTAATAAGGCCACCTCCGGAATATGTGTTCTGATCAAAATTCTAACCCGCTCTCTCCTTTCCTCCTTCAGGCCCCGGACATTCCAAGATGACAGCTTCGTTCTGCTCCCCCTGCTACCTGACTCCCCCACCTCCGTCCCCTTACTCTTCCTCTGCACAGAAATTTTCCTCACCCCAGATTTTTTCCTGTCTATTTTTCTCTTTGTTTTTAAAATTTTCTTCTCTTTTATTCTTCTCAAATCGTTCGAAAGCAATTCTTGCAAATCTCTCCCCTCCCCAAAAATGAAGGCCTGGCGATTTCCCAATTGCTACCTCCCTTTCCAACAGGTTGTCTAAATCAAGCACTATCGACTGATCAAGTCCTCCACTCCCAGTGGTCTTTTCCGGGTCCTCTTCTCTTCCTTTTTCTCCTTCCCCTTCCTTTTCTCCTGCCCCCCCCCCTAAGGCCTCAGCTTGTTCCACCTTTGTTTTCCCCTGAATTGAAACCGACATCTTTCTTCTATTATATACTTTGTTCTGTAAATAGTCCTCCCACACCCCTTCCTTCAAGGCTCTTTTTCTCTTTCTTCTCTCGTCTTGAGCAGGGGGGAAGGGGTAGATATAATAGGATGACTTACCTCTTCAAATATACAAACCTCTTTGTCTCCTTTATCGCCAGGGGCCTTGTTCCCCACCCTTCCTCTGACATAAAAACGTGTGATGCTCTGGTCATGTTCTTCTGAAGCTCGAGTTGAATTCTTGACGCTCAATTCTTCCTGGCTACCCAGATTAGTCCCTACCGCTAGGGTTGTTTCTTTCTCCAAGGATTCTTTTCAAGGTGAACCAATGGGTTCCAACTCCACCCGGGCTATTGGTGGATTTGCAGATCCTTCCTGGGAGAAACCAATGTTGGCGATCTCTTCAACTGCTCTTCCCCTTTTTTTGTTCGCAATCTTTCAACCATTTTCATATTTCGTTACCACCCACACCCATTCCTCCCCTCCTTTTTTTTTCATCACCTTTTCTCGACTATCCACCTTAAAAATTTTCTTCCCAATTGTACTCCTGCCTTTTCGAAATCCTAAGCTCTTCGTCCTTAAGCCTCTTGAATTTCTTTCTTTCAAATGGGCCCCACCCTCCACATTTGGACACCCAACATCCACACCCACCCGAGACCTTTCATCTCCCTCCCCTTTACCTTTTAACCCATCAGTTGGCTTCCCTACCCCATCACCGCTTGCCACTTGTCCCTTACTTTCCATATTAGATCCTGTTTTTCCATTTTTGCCCCTCTGACTATTCACCTCCTCACCTTCTTCCTCCTTCGGCCATCCCTTCAACTCCCCCCCCCCTCTGTGACCGTTTCCTGAAACTCTGTCATCTCCTCTCACCGTTCCTTCCACTGATTCGTTAGTCTGGTCATTTCAAAGGACACTCAGAAAAGTGTCCTGTATATTTTGTATGTTATCTTTCCTTTCTTAGTTTTCTCCTCATAAATATGTTCATTTTCTATGTTTTGATATGGGATTTTGATAGGATTCAATCAGCACCCTTGAAAACTTATTCTAGAAAGAAGAAGGGCTTACAACAGGTCCTGATATGGCATTAGTAATGGTACTTAGGATTTGGACTGAATTGAACACCAAGGGTATTTTTGTCATTTTGCACTTTTCTGTGGGGTCCAATGATAGGTTTAATTTGTCTAGTTATAGTTTGTTTATGTTTAAAATTTCAGAGTCATTGCATAAGTAGGATTAGAGTTATTGAGTCTTCTTTGAATTGAAATAGGATATAACAGCTTAGTTTGAGTCCTACTAGGATTATTGAGTCTAACAGTTTGACTCCTAAGACTATTATGAGTAACAGTTGACTCCTAGGATTATTATGAATTTAGTCTATAAATATGTATGGACGTTTTACACAAAGGCAATGAAGTTTATTGAGTTTTCTTCGGCTTATGCTAGCTATGGTGAGTGATTCCCATGCCCTAGAGTGATTCCAGGTATTTTCTCTCTTCTTTCTCTCCCTATTTTCTCTCAATCCTTCAAGAAGCCATTACAGCCATCAACAGCCATAAAATTCTGATCCAAGAAGACCATTCAACATTTTCTAAGGACTAGAACTGAGCTGGTCCTACATCAGATTTATACTTATTTCATGAGGATTATGGTAATTATTAGTTAATGATTACTAGTTTACTACTTATTAGTATGAAATCTAGGGAACTACCATAGGATTTTTTTTTTTTTTTTTAAAAAGCTCATTGCCTAGGTGTCCGCCTAGGCAACAAAGTACCTCCCTGTTGCCTGGCTTTGCCTTGGCACCTTGAACACTATGACTTATTCTGGTTTCTAAAAGCCTTCAAAGCATGAGAAGCATTTACCTAGTTTTGTCACTTTCTCTTCAGGTTTTAATCAACAATTCCCTCCATTATGGAGGAGAGAGGCGACATAGAGAGAACATATCAGCTATTTCTTTCTGACCATCTGTCTGTTTACATGTTTAACTTTTCAACTTTTCTCACAACAATGTTTAATAGATCATTGAGAAATGTTCAATTTGGTTTATGCATTGCTTGCTGCCTTGAGCTTTAGTCTCCAATATGGTTTGTGCATTCACAACAAGTTTTCTCACAGCAGCTATTTCTTGCTGACCATCTCTGTTTACATGTTTAATTTTCTGAAAGATGCATGGATGAAAAATTACACGTGGTTCTTTTGTATTGACTTGTATTTTTTTCTTTGTTTACCTTTTTCTCCCTCCCCCCTCCTTTCCTGGTTTTGATCAACAGGTACGAGAATACATTGATGACACGGAGGACTATGTGAACATCCAACTTGACAACCAGAGAAATGAACTCATTCAGCTTCAGTTGACATTAACCATTGCATCATTCTCCATTACTATTGAAACCTTGATAGCTGGGGCTTTTGGTATGAATATTCCTTTCCGATGGAGCAAAGTTGATGGAATTTTTGGCCCCTTTGTTGGAGGTACCTCAGCATTGTGCTTCTTGCTTTTTCTGCTTATGCTAGGGTATGCAAAATGTAAGAAGCTGCTGGGTTCTTAATATTACCTAGTAATAATCTTGTTCATATCTGGGAGACTGTCTTCTCTTCAACAAGTTCATATGTGATGTACATTAGCAAACTCACATTGTAATGAAGATTCAAGAAATGAAGTGTCTTGTTTAAAGAAGGTCCTTGCACTATTTCTAAGTTTTTGTAAGTAAAAGTGACTGGATGCCGGTAGCAATCGGTTACTTGATGCAGTCTACACAATTAGGTGCATGCTTAAGTAGAAATCTGGCCTAATTTACCTTTCTGTTTTCTGTTCTTACAGTAGTAAGAACTAAGAAGGGCCTGCTAGTGACCTCACATTGTTGTTGATTAAAGTGAAGGAAACCTGGAACCATATGTGCACACACCTTGAAATTTTGAATTAATGAGCATAGATTATCCTTATACCGGGGCAATATTGCTGGATTATAAATTACAAGGAGGAAATTTATTATATATCCCTGTTTTCTGTGTTATAAAAGGTGGTTTGCTTAAAGGGATTGTACCATGTTTTTCTTGATTCTTGACCTACAAAATGTTTGTAAGAAATTTTCAAGCATGGGAGTGTGGGCTCGAGTCTGAGAATAAAGCTCAAAAGTATGTAGAAGTATAGAAACGGAGTATTGGAGCGATGATGTCAAGGGACGTATCAGGTATGTTCATGGAGGTAAATAGGCATTCATTAAATAATGCTCAGGGTACAATCCTTTTGAAAGGAAGATATTAGAATTAGAAGAGATAGAAAGAGCTCATTTAGCCACTAGATGCCCACGTGGTTTCCTGAATGTTTAACAAAATGAACCGAGAATTGAGGGATTTGAGTCATATGAGCCCTGCAATCGGATAACGGGATAAGTAGTTATAAATACGCCAAGGAGGCAAGGTGTGCTGGTGGAGGCCTCCACCAGGTACTTATCACGACAAAAGCATCTCCTACTAAAACATGAGATGGGTTTCAGTCAGTGCAAGCCTGTGCTCACACCATTCAAATGGCCTCTTGCAACCTTACATTGGGAATATCTCTCCATGAAATAAAGCATAGAAGTATGAAAACATTCCCAATGCAAGGCTGTGAAGGCTGTAGAAGAAAGGGCCCCATCAAAGTCGATTTTGATACATTAAATTGGTGGGTGCTGCCAATGAATATCCAAAGCATTATCCTCTACAAAAAGAGTCAAGATAGATTCCTCACTGTTCAGCTGAATGATAGTTTGTGCTTCTGATATTTGAGCTGTAATCCTGTTAATCAATGTATGCATCTCTATTGGCATCTTATTAAAAATCAGCTTATACCTTGCCTTTCAGACCTGTCTATGGCCAAAAACATCACCCGAGGGCTGATTTCTGGGGCCCAAAGTTGGATGATGTACAGCCTGTTACAATCTAAAGTTTAACATAATTCATAATCTATAAATCTAAATGTTACAAGATTGGATTTGTTAGGATCCTGGTATGGGGTTTTGATTAGAATCATTTTTCTTATTGAAAAGTGTTTGGAGACATCCAATGATAAACCCTAATTCTTAATTTAAAACTAATCATAAAATGCAAAAAAAAAAAGTCAACGGCTTAAAGAAGAAAATAACTTACCTAAATTGAAGGCCTCTTAATTTGAAAAAAGAAAGAAAAGAAAAAAGGGTTTCCTACATTCAAGACTAAGCATTTAGGTTTTTGCTAAAAAGTCCCTCGGGGGGGGGGAAGTACAAGGTAACAATGCTTGCAAGTGAAAGGGTTTTTTACCATTCAAGGGGCATCAATGCTTGCATTTCCTAGACATTACTTGTATGCTTGGGTTAGACTATACTTTGCTAGAGGTGTCTTCGCCAATGTTCTATTGACATAGACGATCTCTCATTGATATGTTTTAAGGGATCTTAAATGCCTCATTCTTTGAGGTAGAAGCCAAGTCAGCCTGCTCCACCATTCATGGAGCCATGTTAGAGAAGGATTTAATAGAGACCCAAAAAAGTGCAATATAATGTTTAGAATCCTAGAAACCATTTAGATAATGTTTCCCACTCCACATAGTTTAGAGAATTTATGTTTAACATTCACCTAGGCTATGGAGTGTTGCACCAAGGGTCTCAATGTTGGTTGGAGATGTATAATCTACATAGGTTTGCTAACTAACAAGGTTTCTATCAAATGGTTCCAAGGGCTCCAAAACACTTGTTTTATAAGGCCAATCATACCCAGATTTATAGCCTATGGTTGTCCCTAGCTCAAGTGAATACCAAGGCTACATTTCATATTCCAGGACTTGTTGGACATATTGATAACTAGTGCGACCCCAGTTACTTGTAATAGTGGATGCAAGGTGTAGGGCATGCTTTAGAGGAAATTGTTGTGAAGACTTTATATTTGAATGAGTTGAGTGGTACAATAGAATAATGTAGAATTATACAAACAACTAAAAAGATCTCAAGGCAAGGAAAGGCAATGAATCCGAGCAAACAACCTCCAAGATTACCCTTAAAGAGAGGGCATGATGATAAGATTACTACTACCCTCCCTCCTAAAGAGGTATCTGCTATAGGGATATCCCATGGTCCCAAGGCATCAATTTGATAAAAATACATGGTCCCAAGGCATCAATTTCATAGTCCCGAGAAGTAATTCAACTGGATGATGATCCTACAGAGGTATCTGCTATAGGGATATCCCAACAAAATCTAGTCATGGATACCGATGCCTCTTAAAATCTAAGAAGTGGACAAAATCTTCTTCTACCAGAGTCTTGTGGCAAGGGCGCTCATGCAACTGTTAAATAACCCTACCAACAGGCTAAGTCCTTGGAGTGTGCTTTTTCCAACGTTCATTACCTTATTTTTCTTACTATTATATCCCTTCTTTCTTGCAACCTTCCTGCCTATATTGGAGATCCATTACTTGGAGCACTTGGTCATGTATCTTCTAACATTCAAGTGTCTAGTTCATTCCAACCCACCATTATTGTAGTACCACCTCTTCCAACTCTCATATTCTTCCTATCTTTACTCAAAAGGGGCTTTCATAGATCAAGCAATGCTAGAGTCTTCAACCTAATCCAAGGGGTCTACCAGTCCTGTTAGAAATTATATGGCATGTGCATACTCCCTTAACATGGAAGGGATTAGAAGCTTCCTAAAAGCTAAGTTGTGGAGCCTATGACCAAGAAAGGTTTTAACTACATGACGAGTTGGTGATAGAAGCCCTTGAAGATGCCTTCCACCTTTATACTTCTCCTTTAATCTAGTAGGTTGATTCATTGTTGTCACGGTAGAGGGATACCTTACTCAGAGGGATACAATTAGGAGTGCTCTGATTGAAAAGAAAAAGGGGGAATTATTGATTCAGTCCATGAATATAATTGCATAAGAGTTGAATACATTTTTCATTACTAATTAGAGGAATCAAGTCAAAGCAAACATTGCTACTATTGAAGATGAGCAACGTCAAATCAAGGCAAGGCTACAAGCACTTGAGGATGGGGGACAAAGGTTGGAGGATAAAAAACAAACACTTATAAGACCCCAAGAAATGGCACTTGCAGCTAGAAAAGCTCAATATGATCAGTTAAAGCAAACAAAGGTTGGAAGCAAAGAAGCGTAAGCATAGATAAGATGATAGATAAACTTTTAGATGCATTCAAGGCCTTCTCCAAAGCATATTGGGTTCACTAAGACCCCAAGAAATTAAATGTTTGATAGAGACTTTTTCTTTTTTTGCATTATAAATGGTATACTTGATTAATAAATTAGAGTTCTTCCACCACATGAGGCACATCCCATTTAGGGTCAAATATCCTTCCTGAATAGTGTGAGAGAACGACAAGTCATTGAACAACAAGGACTAGATCTCCTTTTATTAAAGGAGTGGGTTTGAGCCTTCTTGTTGAATGTACAAGCCAAATAAGCTTGGTAGCACTCTATTCTTTGTTAAGCTTCGAACCTTTTCTAATCTAGTGCCTCGAGCTTAGCCAACCATAATTTTGCATTCTCATCATCTATAGTCCCCTCCTAGATAGCCATTCTTAAGGAGTTCATTTGTTTCTCTAGAAGAAGTATAACTTCTACACCATAAACTAAAGCAAAAGGAGTTGCATTTGTAGTGGTACGGTAAGATGTTCAATATGCCCATAAGGCTTTATCCAAGTGTTCATGCCAATCTCTTTTATATTTGGACATTATCTTCTCAAGTAATTTGTAGAGGATTTTGTTGAAGGCCTTTGCAAGTCCATTAACTGTGGTATTATACATGGTAGAAAACTTCTACTTAATGCCAAACTTGTCACAAAATTGTATCACCAATGCTATTGAAAATGGCTTCCCATTATTCGTAATCATGTAATGTGGAATGTTGTAGCAATAAACAATGTAAGTCTAGAAAAAGTTAACAACATCCTCTTTTTTTTACTTCTCGAAGAGGGACCACTTTTTCCCATTTAGAAAAGTAGTCGATTGTTGCTAAGATGAAGAGATGTTGGTGTAAACACTAAGGTAAAGGTCCAACCATGTCAAATCCCCAAGCATCAAATGACCATGATGCAATTATAAGATGTAATGATTCAGGTTGTTAGCGAATGAAATCCCCATAAAATTGACACTCTTGACACCTTTTAACATACTCCATTGAGTCATACACCATTGTTGGCCAGTAAAAGCCCATTCACTTAAGTTGATCATGAAGTATAGGTCCTGACTGGTGTATATTGTAGACTCCAAAATGTGTTAAGTACACTTTGGATCTCATCTCTGTGGATACACCTCAAGTAGACATTATTGAAGAAGTGTCTATAGAGGTTGTGATTATAGTACAAGAAGTAGGGTGTTTGGTGTCATATCTCAGTTCTATGCTTGGGATTATTTGACAACCTCCCATGCTACACGTAATTGATGATGGATTGTCTATAGTCCTTTACTTCAATGTTAAATACCAAAATTAGGTTACTTTCCTGTTCCTCCTTTTCTTGAGGTGACTTAGGAGGGAGAACCCATTTTTCACAAACATTTATTGTTGTTGCTTAATCACTCGATAGTGTTAAGACTACTTCTAAACTAGCAAGGGCGTTTGCTTACTTATTTTTTCCACTAGGTAAATGTTCAATGGTAGTATGCTTGAACTACTTCAGTAGTTGGATTGCAATGATGGAACCAAGTC